AGAGATCCTACAAAAAGAGACATGAGACAGACCAGACCGATCGTCCAAGAGCGCCTATCGAGAATATGACCATGGCTGACGCGGTATGCCACACCACCCTACATACATATTGAACTCTGTCACTGATGTATGCACCATGCAATATCTAGGGACGTGAACTACAGCGACTCACCAGGAACATAATGCTCGCCAAACGAAATATAAAGCGCTGGGAATCGGAGCATGAGGAACTTATTGCCCGTTTCTATAATGCCAAAGGAAAGATAATTGTGCCACCAGGAGTGGATGAGAAAACCAATGTGACCGCTTATCATGGCGAGAGTAGTGGTGAAGGCTCGAAGTTCGAGGGTGGTACAAATAAGCCTGAGCAGACTCCACCAATTTCCGAGAGTGGCGAGGTCCCGAGAGAGGGTAAAATGGACGTGGATGAGGATGTACAATGTGAGAAAGCCAATGTTGTTGTTGGCAATGCTGATGGTCGCTTACAGGAGGTAGCTACGACTGCAACCGCCGGTTGCGACGATCAGCTTCTTCCCGATTCTGGGGACGTTGGGTGTTTGGACGACTTGATGGACTTGTCGGATGAACTGAAGGGGGAAGAGGATTGCTTAGGTAGTGCACTTGGGTCGCTCAAAATCCATGTTTAGGTTGCTGGGTGAGGTCTACTGGTTTGATATTGAATGTTGTTGTTGGAATAAGTTGCAGTGGTCTATGCTAGAGAGAGTAGTGTGTTTAGGGCGAATCTCAATGTCTTTTGCTGGTCTTATTGTTGATGTTTTATAACCTCACAGTGCCTCTTGAGAGCTGAAATGGCAGCTATTCATCTATAGTACTAGGGTGCTTACTCGTTGTCTGAAGATCAGGGAAGGTACAAGCACTTTTAGTAGCTCAAAGTCACTATGTTTGTGATGGCGCTTCCAAATCCCATCGCAGTAGTATTGTCCATCACATATTGCAAAAAAGGTAAAAGAATATAGAAATGACAGAAGACGAGACATATTAAAGGAAAAAATCGTACAAAACTCAAGATATGCGCTCCACCAGAGAATCAACCAGCTTTGTTTCCTACCATACCATAGCTCGCGGTCGGGCCGTAAGCTGCACCCTTCGGCACGGGTGGAGATAAGCGGATAGGAATTTTGAGGAGTGGGAACCAAATCCCCTTAGTTACTCCACTTTACGCAGTTAGCTCAGGCAATGGGGATTAGGCGGGCCGCATACCCGCCGTGTCCAGTTTACGTAGTGCCATGCATATGACGGAGCACAGATGCGACTTGCACATTGGGGGAAAAGGAAGTGCAGTAAGTAGTTGTTAGGATAGCCCCTCATTCTGCGGGGTCGGGAGTATAGAAGGGTAATGCTCTCTTTTTAAATGAGTCTTTTGTGATTCCACTTGCACACAATAAATAGCATCTGTTGACCTGGGATTCATCACATATTCTCTTTTCTACATCTCACCTGCTCATCATGGCCATGAGAAGCGACTGCAACGTCCACGGCCTCGAGTTTCGTGAAGCAAAACCCTCGCAGGGAGATCCTGCGCGTCCTGTTGCTGATCTCTTTCGTCTTGAAAATCGCACTATCATAAGTATTTTCTCCTGGAATCCGGTATTACTGTATCACATGGACCTGCTAATAGCAACGCTTTCCATACAGTCACCGGCGCTACCGGCTTCCTAGGCACCACGCTCGCCATTGCGATTCTCGAAAGCGGCGGTGATGTCGTTTGTCTTGATCTCGCACCCGTCCCGAATCCTCCTGATTGGCGTACGTACTTCCCCTTTCCCCAATCCGATGTTGAGATGGAGATGGAGGTGCCTCTAACTAGCGTCTGATTACAGATAAAGTTGAAGCCGCCGCGCAAATTCACGCCCGCCAACTAACCTACTACCCCCTGGACGTAACGGACGAATCCGGTGTAGAGAAAACTTTCACCCAGTTCATCCCTACCCTGCGATACCCGCTCAAAGGTCTTGTCGCCTGCGCAGGCCTATCCCGAAATGGTCCTGCGACCGATTTCCCCGTCTCGTCGTTTCGGCGGATGCTAGATATCAATGTGACGGGGACGTTTCTTATCGCGCAGGCGGCGGCCCGGGAAATGCTCAGGACGAATACTACGGGCAGCATGGTGTTTGTGGCTAGTATGAGTGGTTATGTGTCGAATAAGGTTAGGACGATATCTTCTGTAGTTGTGCGAGAGAGAGAGAGTGGGCTGACATGGTACTTTGTTACTAGGGCGTCGATACAGCCGGATACAACGCCTCCAAGGCGGCCGTTCATCAACTCACGCGCTCTCTGGCTGCCGAGTGGGGATCGAGGGTCGGGATGCCTTTGATTAGGGTTAATTCGCTCTCACCGGGGTATATCCGGACTGCGGCGACGGCAGAAGCGCTTCAGAAGCCAGGGATCGAAAGCCAGTGGGTGGGTGATAACATGCTGTTTCGGTTAAGTACGGCGGATGAGTTCCGGGCACCGGTGCTTTTCATGCTTGGGGATGGGAGTAGTTTTATGACTGGGGCGGATTTGCGCGTTGATGGGGGGCATTGTGCGTGGTAGAGAGGGAGGGTCTTATCTGTATCTAGTTTAGCATGGTATGGTATCGGGAAATATTTGGAGGGGCTTCAAGTTGGAATCATATTTGTTTGGTATGAAGCAAGAGCTCTATTTGTTTGTTCTTATTGTCTATCTTTTGAAAGAACAACGGAAGTATAAGATGGGTGACTACTAGGAAAACAAACAAGCACAAGGACGTAGTTACCTGACCATGGAGAATTTGACGAAAGTGAAGGCAGTTAAATTTCTCCTGACACACTTCTATCTGTTCAGCGACACCTTCCCCCACCTTCCCACATGTTCCACAACTCGGAATATAACCAGCTTCACCATAGCTCATTGATCCAATCCCCAAAGCGCAACTTCCCCGTCAACTTCTCAATCTACGAATCCCCATCTGCCTCACCTGTCTCCCAAATACCATGAGAACAATCACCCCTCCAAAAGCTGGGAGCGTAATCAGCCCGGCAGTGCCGAACAGCCATCCCGGACCAACTCTATCGTTCCACGGGGCGATGAAGACAGCCGAGAGAACTCCCAAGATAAGCCTCCAAACTCCCATCCCTGCCGACACCTCTGAGACATGGTTCGGGAAACATTCACAGAGATACGTCATTGCAACCGGGAGAAGGGAGATGGCACCGAAAGTGAGGAGAAGAAACCCGAGTGCCAAAAGCACCCAATGGTAATGGTACTCTAAACTAGCACCAAATAGGCCTAGGCCTATGGGAAGCATTATCACTGGGACCCAGAGACAGTGAAGCCGGTATTCCGGGCGCCATTCTGTAGGTTTAATGTCCTGCGACTTGGACGTTCGGTGAAACAGGTATAAAGGAAGTCTGTCGCTGATGAAGTGGCCGTATAATTCCGCGAGTGCGGTACCGATTGCTTGGGTGAGCGTGACTGTGGTGCTCGGGTTAACGGCCAAAATGAATTAGGGGAGAGACTGAAAGCGTACATGAAGCCATCGAAATCCTTGACATTGCGTATCCACCTTCGTCTCGAGGGGCTTCAACGAAGGTGACACCGAGGATAATGGCCATTGAAGCGAAGCCAAAGTCTACCATCATAAAGAAACCCACGATTATTGACACGGGAGAAAAAGACACTAGGAAGATATCATAAAGAATGGATACCTTATGAATATCAGCCTAAGTTACGAGTGCTGATGATGCGGTAAGAATAAGACTCACCATGTTCTTCCAGCTTGCTCTAAGCTGTGGTGGAACCGCTCTTCCACGGAGATACATGTTCCATTTTTCTGATGTAAAGGATTGCCGCACTTGTTCTCCCCCCGCATATGCTGCCTCTTCAATAAAGACAAGGATCAACAGAGCCAACACCCCATTCATGGGTACAGTATACCAGAAAGAGATAGGCCACGAAGCTCTCGCATCAACATATGCACCTAATGTTGGGCCAATTGCAACCCCCAAGAGGAAGGGAATATGCAGTATATGTAGACATTTACCTCGCTGATGCCGGAAGTAAGTCCGCAAGACGAATTCGGAGCCAAGGACTAAAGGGACCCCTGCGCATAGACCGGCGAAGAGACGAGATATCACGAATGGAATGTAATCCGATGGACGAGTCATCATGGCAGACCATACCGAGCTGAAAAGGATGCCGATGGTTGACCAGAAAAGACAGAAGCAGGAGCCGTACCTTCGGCTAAGAGGGACGACTAGGATAGAGGAGACCATGATCCCAATGAGCGCGCATGAGACCTCTTTACTCTTAGTAACATGTTGCTATATCAATGTGTGCTACTTACGGAGAGAGAAATCTGAGTAGCCGTCTTGTGATACAGAGGTGCTTGGAGATATGATCCCTGCATGTTCGTCATAGCAGTGGCTTGACTAGAAAAACAAGCAATAGCCCATATCGAAAGTACACGCGCCTTTCTCGAGGGCTTCCAGTTCTGGTTTCGTCAGGTTTTATTCGCTTAAACTCGACAAAGAACATACCAAGGGATCATTAGGGTCGTCTGATGGCTGCGGGTCGAGCACGAGCCCATCAGGGGTGGTTTTGAGGCCATGAACAACCTCCTGGGTCTTCTCCTCATCAAACATTGTCGCAAAGTTGGTGGTTGAGAGATTGTAGCCTGCTTCGATGAAGTTTCATTATGGCGGCGGTGGTGGTGAGCCCCTTACATCTGAAGATACTGAGACTTGAATTTTGACTTCGACTAGCACCATACTGTACAGATAAGATATCTGTCCCTTGATTGCAGGTCTCGCCGCGATGAAGTTACTCCGTTGCTATCGGAAAAAGGTAACAATGAACAATGCATAGGTCGTGCAGCTGGTCCGAGCTCCAATCCCCTCTCGAGTCGCACTTGCTGCAGAGATACCCAAGCACCCCTCATTCAGCATGAAATAAATATTCTCCTGCTCGTAAGCTTCTAATCTCTTACCTTTCACTAGAATTAACTCCATATAGGCATGATGACCCTAGCCGAGACGCCCTTCACCATCGACAACCTTCCCTACGGTGTAATCTCCACCGCGGAGACACCAACTCCGAGATGCGCGACTGTTCTGGAGGACGATGTCATAGATTTGAGTGCACTTGAGAAGGATGGATACTTCAAATCCATTCCGGGATTTAAAGGCGAAGTCTTTTCTATGGTATTTTATAGATACCCGTCCCTCCTTCCCAAAAAAAAAGAGCAAGGCCTAACCTCTACAGCCAACCCTGAATAAATTTGCCTCTCTTCCGAAAGAAGCCCACGTACAGACCAGAGCAGCGCTTGTCGACCTTCTCTCAGACAATGATATCCGCAAAAGATATGCCATTCCCCTCTCAAAAGTGCAGAACCATCTCCCCATGGAAACCAAGAACTTCAGCGACTTTTACTGTTCATTCGAACACACCAGAAACGTACGTCTACCCCAGCTTCACTCTCTGCATCCAGACACTCAAAACACTAGTGCTCCGAACTCTTCTCTCTGAAGCCTCCAGCCTCATGGTTCGTCATCCCCTCCGTCTACAACGGACGACAAAGCAGTCTCCGCATCTCCGGTACTCCTATCCGACGGCCTTGGGGTGTGACGCTCGACTCCAACAAACCCAACGACCCACCAGCCTTCAGACCCAGCGCGCGCTTCGACTTTGAGCTAGAAATGGGCGTTTACCTATCCCATCCACTCCCCCCAGGCGAGATCCTCAACATCAACAACGCAAAGGACCACATCTTCGGACTGGTCATCCTGAATGACTGGTCTGCAAGGGATATCCAGACATACGAGATGGCACCACTGGGCCCATTCCACAGCAAGGGCTCGGGAACGAGCATCTCACCATGGATTGTACCTATCGAGGCACTGGAGGGGTCATACTGTAATGCGAGGGTGCAGGACCCGGCACCCTTGAAACACCTAGCATGGAAGGGCAGAGAAATCGAGGCAACATTCGATATTGAATTGAAAGCGAGGGTTATCAGTAAGCCTTCCCTTCACCGCTCCTTGTCATCGCCCCTCCATCCTTGGGCCACCATGACACGATACTGAGAGATAGATACACAGGAAACGGAAAATCCTACACCGTCACAGAAACAAATCTAAAGGAGCTTTACTGGACTCCGTTCCAGCAGATTACCCATCTCTGTAGTGCAGGCGAGGGGCTCTCGACAGGAGATATCTTCGGCACGGGCACCATAACCAGTGATGTATGTAACACCTCCCCTGTTCTCTATCATCATATTACTATATAGAGTTATACAACACCAACTAACAATCAATGAAAGCGCCTCAACGCCCAAGGCGAACAAATCGGAATCGCCTGCCTCCTAGAGCGAGGACTGAAGAGAAATATCCTCTCCGAAGCCAGCAAGGACGGACTCGAGTTCCTTGCAGACGGAGACGAAGTCATCATGGAAGGATGGTGCGTTAACCGTCTCACGGGGGGTAAATTCGGGTTTGGAGAGTGTCGTAGTGTCGTCCTTCCTGCTTTGAAGGAGGGATCTTGGGAGTGAGTGCTAGTGGCCTTATTACGCAATGCGTCAGCCTTAATGGATGGATGGATGCTATCTACCTTCTTAAATAGCATTTACTATCTCTGTCCCATATGGGAGACACGAACTGATCAGACTGTCTACAAACTCAGGAATAGTACCTGAGTATATCAAACAATCGAATCTCTCAATACTCAGAATACCCAATATTGCTAATTAAACCATTGATGAGTAATTAGAACCACAAGGAAAAAATACCTCCGAGATAGTTTAGTACAATTTCCTCCGACTGGCATTTGCAGTACTCTCCTCTCCCTGTCTAAGTTACTCCTGACCCCCTTGCTGACTAGGCTGACATTAATCTCCTCAGAACAGGTGACGATGAGTATTATATTAGGGATAAGAATTTAAATTAGAAGAATAATGTACTAGAAGATACTATCAGGAATTCCCAATAACCACTCATTTCTACTCTGTGAAACTCAGATATTATTCATTGAGTGATCATGGGATAGAAGATCTTAAGTGAGGGAGTGCGGTTTAGGAGAGGAGAGGTCGAGTGTCAAAACACGGCTTTATTATTGGGAAAAGAATGGATTTTCTAGTATAGAGGTATTTTTGTACGAGTAGTATTTTGATGCGGGATATATTATGGCGACAGGGACTAGAGGGATTAAATGGGGAGCAATCGGAAGGTCAGGAACGGGAGAGGAAAAGAGGAAGAGAAAGAGGGGAAAGAAAGCGCGGGGGCGGCCACATAATGCGGCATCATCGAACATCGTGTGCTCTTTTCTTTCAACTACAACTATGTCAAAACTTCGAGGTAAACTTCGGGAAAACACTCGCTTTGAATTCATTCTAGGCTAGAATTTTGATTCTTATGGTCATCAAGCGTTATCATCAACTTTCGTCCATCTAAAGACCGATATCCCAACTGGCGCTACGAATTCAGGGCATCTCACACGAGGTGGCAGAGACGGTGTGCAACCGCATCACTCATGCTTGGGCTTTTTCGACAAGAGTCAAATTCTCCCGCGCCCGTACGAGTCCTCTGGTCGACACGACAAGGCATCGTCCCTGGTCGGAATAAACCGTACTCAGGTGCTGACGATTTTCAGGCGCTGTCGCGGTTGCGTCGATGTACCAAGTTCATCCCAGTGCATTTGCCACTAGGATCCCATCCGTCACCTCCGTTGTGTCTGGCCTCTAGTTCTCGAGGCTAACCTTGACCTTCTTCTCCGGAGGGGGAATGACCTCATCCTCAGCCGCGCCGGTGAGCGTGGGGAGCTCGTTGACGGCTTCCTTGATGATGTCCAAGGCCTTCTGGACCTCCTCATCGGTGATCACCAAGGGTGGTGCCAGACGGATGATGTTTTCGTGAGTCGGCTTAGCCTGGAGGGGAGGTTAGTATTTGACCTGAAATTCAAGGCGACCGCCTTAACTTACCAGCAACCCCTTCGTTTTGAGCAGCATGCAGAGGTCCCACGCAGAGTGGCCGTTGGTCTTGGACTCATCAATGACAATAGCATTGAGCAGACCCTTGCCGCGCACCGTCTGGATGATGGGGCTCTTAATGGCCTGCAGACCGTCGCGGAAGACCTGACCGAGCTTCTCGGCGCGCTCGACCATGTTCTCCTCCTGGACGACCTCCAGGGCTCTGATAGCGACCGCGCAGGCCAGCGGGTTACCTCCATAGGTCGAACCGTGGGTGCCCGGCTCGATAGTGAGCATCACATCCTTGCGGCCCAGCACGCAGGACACGGGGTACATGCCACCGGAGATGGCCTTGCCCAGCAGCACCATGTCAGGCTTGATGCCGCTCCACTCGTGGCAGAGCAGCTTGCCAGTACGAGCAATACCCGTCTGGATTTCATCGCAGATCAACAAAACGTTGTGCTTGTCGCACAGGGCTCTGGCCTCCTGCAGGTAATCCTCGTCGGGGACAACAATTCCAGCCTCGCCCTGAATGGGCTCCACCAAGAAGGCGGCGAGGTTGGGACCCGCCTTCTCGAAGGCCTCCCGCAAGGCGGCCTTATCGTTGTAGGCGATAGGCTTGTCCGTTCCGGGAATGGTGCAGCCGATACCGGGCAGGTAAGGGCCATAGTTCTCGCGCGACTCGGGGTCAGAAGATAAGGAGATAGCAGCGAACTAAACCAGAGAACACCGGTCAGTCTGGGTCGAATTTCAATTATACAGGGCGATATTCCGGTACTTACTGTGCGTCCGTGGAAGTTGTTCTCCGCACTCAGGACCACCGCCTGGTTCTCAGGAATGCCCTTGACCTTATAACCCCACTTGCGGGCGATCTTGATACCGGTCTCGACCGCCTCCGCACCGGTGTTCATGGGCAGGACCATGTCGAAGCCAAAGTACTTGGTCACGAACTCGGCAAACCGGGGGAAGACATCGTTGTAAAAGGCACGGGAACTGAGAGTCAAACGGGAGGCCTGATCGACTAGAGCCGCCACCAGCTTGGGGTGGCAGTGACCCTGGTTGACAGCGGAGTACGCAGACAGGAAATCGAGGTATTGACGACCCTCGGGGTCCCAGACTGTGGTGCCCTGGGCACGAGCGAAGACGATGGGAAGTGGGTGGTAGTTGTGGGCAGCGAAGTCTTTCTCAGCCTGGATAGCCTCTTGAGTAGTGGAGGCATGGTAGGAACTGACGCCATTGTGGCCGTTAGTTCCATTGGTACCGTTGGACGCCATGGTTTGAGAGAAGAATCAGGGACAAATTAAGGGAGCAGTGATCAGAGGATGAGAGGCTATGAGAGGCTGGTATGTGGGAGAGGAAGAGAGATGTGAGAGCACTAGGAGAGGAAGAGGAAGGACTGAGGGGGTATCTGGGAAGTATAAGATAAGAAAGAAAGAACAGACAAAGCAAGAAGAAGGGGGGAAAGACACGGTATAAGAAGGGTCGAGGCAGGGAGGAGAGGAGTGCAGCAGTGACAGGAAGGCTTTTACCAATTTGGCTGGCAAACAGACGAATTGTGGTAGACAGGAAATTTGCGAGGCCGAAGCTACACCGTTAAGCGCAGGTGGACGCGGAGAAGACTCCTAAGTGCAGGTGGAAGCGATCATGATGTCTTTCTGACTAAGGCGGGCGGCTCCGCTCCACTTTTTGGTGGCCTGCGTTTTCTGGCCGCCTTCCTTGGAGGTTCTGGGCAGCCACTCATCATCCCGACAATTACTCTTTTTCTGTTTTCTTCCTCCCACTCAACTCTCGAGACCCACGGAGCGGATCTCGACGCTTGTTATCGGTCCGACCCAGTCCAGACTGAGAACGCGAGATTGATTGGTTGGTTGGCTGTCTGAGAAAGGGACCAAGTGGTATCTTCTGCTTTCCCTTTTCCGCTTCCCCCCTGTAAACAAAACTAAACCAACAAAGATGGCAGTTTTATCGTGACCTGTAAAACTTGGCAGTTCACTGTGACTATTACTTACTACTACTAAGAAAGTCACTACTAACTAGTGACTATTCTACTTAGTGACTAGTGACTAGTGGCTGCACTGTACTAGTGCTGCACGCTGTGGTACCTTCCCAATCCACCCAACCACTTCCATCACAATCGTCATTTTTCATCCCTGGATCCATAACTTAATCATCCCAGAAAATCTGGGGTGTGTGTGCCTGACTAGTAAATAAATTCCCCCCGATCATCCATCATGTCTGGGGTTCGTCGTCGGCGGAGAGCCTCTTCTTCAACAGCCTCCTCCTTTTCCTCCCCCTCATCCTTATCGGACAGCGACTACATCGCCGACGCTGATGTCTCCGATCCCGATGCCTCTCTTCTGTATGATTCCTCCACCCGCTCTGGTCACCTGAGGCCATCCTCTTTGTCTTCCTCCTTCTTCCCCTCCTTATCCTCCTTATCTTCCTCCTCCGCCTTCCTCCTTTCCACCCCGCCATCCTCGCTTCGCATCTTCCTCTTCCTCGTCGCCTTCCGTCTGGTCAACGCTTGGACCGTTCGGACCTTTTTCCAACCCGATGAGTTCTTCCAATCTCTCGAGCCCGCTTGGCGGGTCGCATTCGGAGACGACCATGCGCCTTGGATCACTTGGGTGAGTTCTCCCTTTCCCATTTGGAGCATTCCGCTCTGTACCTCCCTGCATCTTCCAAGAAAACCCGGTGTCATCATCACACCTCTTCAGCCAATCTGCTGGGGCTCTGCAAGACTAATAATCCATGACGACGTCCTTGTGCAGGAATGGCGCCACCAGCTGAGATCTTCCCTACACCCTCTTCTCTTTACCGCTGTTTATGCCACCACCGATCTGTTCGCTCGCCTACTCCACATTTCCCCTGCATGGCAAGCGGAATGCCTAGTTGTCGCCCCCAAGGTTGCCCAAGCCGTTATCGCTGCCGTTGGTGACCTATATACCTGGCGATTGGCTTGTCGCGTGTATGATCCTAGGTCTCACGAGGCCTGGGCTGCAGTATGTTTCAGATCTCCAGCCAGCATGCGTCTCATCAGGACTAATTATAAAATATAGCTGGCATTGACCATCGTGAGTCCTTGGCAATGGTTCTGCTCCACAAGGACCTTGTCGAATTGCCTGGAGACCTCCCTTACCATTGCTGCTCTTTATCTGTGGCCATGGGTATGGTCGTTGGATCCCTCAACCACCACCCAACCAAAAGGGTCGCCCTCACGTAGCCTCAAGCCCCAGCCGGACGAGGACCAGTCTGACGCGGCTGTCCTGAGCAGGTACGACCTTATATTTTCACTCACCCAGCTTGGTGAAAATGCACTAACTCTATCTCTGGGGATAGGCTTCGACGGTGCCTTGTGCTGGCGGCTGTGGCATGTATACTGCGACCCACCAACGTTCTGATCTGGATGGTACTTGCTAGCCTGTTGTTGTACCGGAGCACTCCCCTTCGACGGGCGACGCTTGTCCGCGAAGCTCTACTCTGCGGGTGAGCTTAACGGTTCCCTCCATTTGTTTCAAGTACGCAACTACTTCTAACACTCTTACAGCTCAGCTGTCTTGGCGGTGTCAACTACAGCAGATCGGTTCTTCTACGGATTCTGGACTTTCCCACCCCTACGGTTCCTGTACTTCAACCTTGCCCAATCGCTGGCGGTCTTCTATGGAACGAATGATTGGCACTACTATTTGTCTCAGGGGCTTCCCCTCCTCTTGACTACAGCCTTGCCCTTCGCCGTTGTGGGCTTATACCATTCAGTAACCCGACCGCGATCGGGTGAACTTAGCGAGTTGCAGGCTTCGATGCAGGTTCAGCTTGCTTCGGTGTGCCTCATCATGATCATCGGGTTGTCTCAGATATCGCACAAGGAGGTGCGATTCATTTATCCATTGCTGCCCTCGCTGCATGTCCTCACTGCACCTGCTCTGGTGAATTTCTTCCGTCCCGCGGTCACCGCGGGAAGTCAGAGACACACCCCCAGACGGCTGACCTTGGTTTTCTTGCTACTGGCGAACGCCGTCATTGCACTCTATACCACAGTCATCCATGCATCCGGCCCAGCGGCCGTGTTGTCCTACCTTCGGGACCAGCGACAGTTCCATGGTTCCAACGATATGACCGATACTTATCAGCCCGGGATCACAGCCGGGTTCCTCATGCCTTGCCATAGCACTCCTTGGCGCTCACATATGGTCTACCCCACCATCAGCGCCTGGGCACTATCCTGCGAGCCTCCTGTCGGCCTCGACGCGTCCGAGAAAGCTACGTACTTGGACGAGGCGGACCAGTTCTACGCCAATCCTGAGCAGTTTCTGCGCACGAACATGGTTGGCGGTCTGCGCAGATTCCCTCGAAGGCCATCCTATGACAAGTATAATTGGAAATCTTCGCAGTTGCCCACACAGTACCAGTCCAAAACCCCGCACGAATGGCCCGATTACCTCATATTCTTCGCCCAACTAGAACCCACCCTACAGAGTCTCCTCCGCTTCTCCGCTTATAAGGAATGCCACCGCACCTGGAACACCGCCTGGCATGACGACTGGCGTCGTCGAGGCGACATAGTCGTTTGGTGCGTTGACCCGTCCGAACAAGCCGCCCGGGACAGTGTGTACATACAACGCCAGCGCGAGAGCCGGGATCTTCACTTCGATCGCATCGTGCAGGCTTTCACCAAGCCCACGCACAAGCAACGTCTAACGCAGTTCTGGAAGTCCATATTCTCAAGCCAGTCCCAATCGTCCTGGTCGTGGTCATGGCCATGGCAGCGCCGCAAACGCACAACCATTCTTGGGTTTGAGTTGCCGGCCTGGCCGTTCTCAAAATCGTCAAGAAAATCGTCATCTTGGTCATTTCCCGCCTGGGAAGAGCTGAACCGGCGGATGAACGATCGGGCAAATTGGGCTTAGTAGCTTGATATGTGCATATATATTCGCGGAGATATGATCTGTGTTATTATACTAAGCTGTATATTCTTTTGTGAACATTTTGGAATAATACCTCGGATACCTTTACATAGTTTGATACGGAAGATTTTGCCACGTTGTATCCTATTCAAGATACCATATACCATATACCACATACCCGAGTCGCTATATAAGTGAATTTTGCCCTGCTATCATCCAAATATATATCCAACAACTACTAGAAACGTTTTATCTCTATGCAACAATTTCCCCGCTGAAGTGAACAGAGCAAGAACGAACCACTATATACATTTCTACCATAGGAAAAGCCAGCTGAAAACAAAAATAGAAAATGAAGAAAGATATAAGTAGTTGATACTCAATGATCGCACCACCAGACCAACTACAAACCAAATATAGGAATATAGATATATACCGCGTAAACCCTCAAAAGCAAAGAAACAAAAAACACAGGCAACGCCAAAAATGCAGTCAGCTAAACTAATCTACTTTACACTCGCCTCACCAGGTCAAGAATCCCTTCCAGGCCACATAAAGATAGTGAGGTCCCGAGTCGACGAGTTCACAAGTAAAGGCACAAGGGTTATATATAAATCAAAGGAAGAATGTGCAATAGATAGAAGATATATAGAATTTCTTTTTTTTTTCCAGAAGTGAAAAGATAAGGAATGAAACTATCCATATCGTGCACTCAAACTGGCAAACGCATCGGGACTGTGTCGTCCGCTTTGGAAGCCGTTGATATCGACGCTTTGCTGGCTCATGTGACCTCGTGGGAAGCCGGTGGGCTTGTTGGGCATTCCTCCGTAGACATTGAGTGTTTGTTGTTGTTGTTGTTGCTGTTGCTGCTGTTGGGGTGGGGCGGTGGTGGTGAGGTAGGGTGTTGTTACTTGTGCGGAAGTGGATGGGACTGGGGCGGGAGCTCCTGGTTGGGGAGCTGTGGTGAAGAAGGGGTTGCGGGTGCCGCTTGCTGAGAGGGGGTCTGTGAGGGGGTTGCTTTGTTGTTGTTGAGGTTGGAGTTGTTGTTGTTGCTGCTGCTGCTGTTGTTGTTGGGGCATGGTGTTGAAAGGTTGTGATTGTTGTTGTTGCGGCATGGTATTGAAGGGAGAGGGCTGGCCGGTCTGAGTGGGAGGGTTCACGGCCGTGGAAGGTCGGTACTGAGGTTGCTCTGGGGTGGCGGAAGGTTGCGGGGAGAATTGATAGAGGGAGAGGATGCTGTTCTTGTCGACGCGGCCGGTGGGCTGCGGCGCTAGATGCTGTGCGGATGCTTGATATCCGTATTGCGGTTGCGCCAGGTATCCTGCATTCTGGGGGGTAGCTGGCGCGGTCATGGCTTGATAGGGGTTCAGAGACCCTTGCGGTTGTTGCAGATGCTGCTGCATTTGGTATTGCGGTTGCGGTTGCGCCTGGGGTTGAGGCTGAGACTGGGGCTGGGACTGGAGCTGCGATTGGAATGGAGAAGGCTGGCCGAAAGGCGATGTGGAGGGCATGACAGGCATGGTATTTGCGTGTCGAAGGGGGCCAAATGGGGAACTTGATGCGGCCTGGCTCTGAGGTGGTTGCTGCATCCCGGTCGGCTGCGGTGCAACCTGACTGAAGAAGGGGTTTGTCTGGGCGAGATTGGACGCGGGAGGGGTCATGCTGGCCTGCGGCTGAGCTCCGGTCTGGAAGAAAGGATTGTTGCCACCGTCTAGTGGCTGCGGAGAAGAGACATATGGGTTCTGGGCAAAGTTCGTGGGAACCGGGGGCGTCGCCGTCTGCTGGTAGAGAGGCTGAGGGAGCGAGACCTGCCGCATTGGATAGCCACCGGTGGAGTGTGGAAACAAGGGCTGCGCGACCTGCAGGTTCTGAAAAGACTGCTCCAGCGATTGCACCGGGGCTTGCTGGGCCTGCGGCTGAGACTGCACAGGTGCATCGAACGGATTGTAGCTCCCACTTGCTTGGCGAGTAGCGGGCCTGGCATCCAGTTGATCGAATGGATTGGAGGATTTGCCAGCATCAGGAGTAGGTTGCGCAGCCGGAGACTTGGCAAGCGAGACAGAACCATTGCCTTCTCCCAGCCTCACTAACGTCTCGATCGTCTTGTCTAGATTGCCGTCCAGCTCGCGGAGGGCGATCGCGTTGCGGCGCTCGTTTGCGAAGCCCATATCCCGTAGGGTCGCCAGCTTCGCATCAAACGACGCATCTCCCGAGCCTTTCCTCACTGAGATTCCCGACGCACCGAAGCTATCCGACTGTGGTGAGATTGCCGAACCTCTGTTGGACATCCGGTTGAGGTTGGTCGCAGATGAGGCGGACCGAAGACCAAAGCCAAAGGGCCTAGCAGGCTTGGGAGGGAGGGGAGGAGGAGAGCCTTCCGGAGACCGGTCCTCTGCGCGGGGTCTATCGTAGTCCGAATCACGACGACTAGAAGGCTTTTGTTTCACCTCGTCGAGGGAGCGGTGCTGGTATTTCTGGCGAATGAAGCGTTCCATGCATGCGTCGGACTCGTCCACGTCAGTCGGAACAGGCGGCTTGACATTCTTAGGGTTGTAGATCTTGTTCATGATGTTGTTTCCGTGCGATTTCATATTCTAGACAATCCCACCGGTTAGCGACTTCATTCTCTGGCCGCGGAATGTATCCCGGGATCACTATAACAACTCACATCGACCTGATCGTCCGTCCATGTATCCATGCTCAAAGATTTGACCTTGGAGATATGTGTGCCCAGCTTGCGATGCAAAGACGCACATCGCATGCAGATAAAGATTCCAATCTATTCATGTATTCCGATCAGTATATACTGTCCTTCCTCACAAAACGAAAAGAAAAAAAAGTGCACTGCATTGCATGTATGTATGTATGAATCGGGTTGACGAGAGACGTACGTTCCAACTAGCCCATCCTGTACCGAAGAAAACAATCCATTAGCAATCTGGACATAAAACAAGACATACGGCGACGCAACTCACCTGGATTCAACGCCTGACAATCAGCACAGCGGTCATTTCCAGGGACCGACCGAATGAGGTCCTGCAGCGCCCGCTCATTGCGGAACTGCTGCCGTTTGCTAATCCCGGCGACCATGATCGCAAGACTCTAACAGAATGGCGGGGTATCTTGCGCGACGACAGGGGGTGAAATTCCGGTCTCACAAACCCCAAGACAAGGAGTGAGATGTAGGGGGGGGTAGGGGAGGCGAGTTGGGGAAAAAGTCTCCAGCAAAGCAACAGCACGAGCCGAGCTTCCGGAACGGGGGATTCGGGAAAACCTTCAAGCTGAGAGGCAAAGCATATTTACACCAGGAAAAGCGTCGAGAGATGCACAGCAAAAGTAGTCGACGAGGAGGAGGAAGAGGGGGGAAATTGGGCAGGTAAACAAGTAAAAGGAGCTGGCCAGGGATGAAATGAGGAGAGAGAGAGAGAGAGAGAGAGAGGAGTCGGCGGAGAGTAGAGGTGGGGAGCAGAACAGCAGCGACGATGGATTGATTCAGTTAGAGTCCCACGATATTAATAGTTGTCCGGTTGCCGGCCCAATTCGGCCCACGTTGTCTGCTGTTGGAAATAAACTAGATAGTAGATAGTAGGTAAATATCTACGAGGGAATATTTTATCGGAGTGATGGCGCAGATGCCCAGACGTTCTAAATTCAGGGCAAGCAATACATGAAGGATAGGAGAAAATCAAGCGTCCGGGTGGCATCAGGGGCAGCAGCAGCAGCAGCAGCCCCCAATGGCTGCAAAGCAACGCTTGGAACTTTCGACCCCAACCAGCCAGGATTGTTCCTGGTGTGGAAAGTCTATTTATTCATTATGATTTGGCAACAGTCACGCCAATGAGACATTCAATGCCTCATTCCAGTGATTCCACAGTACTGGACTCTCTGCATGGATCCCGGGACGCGTCATAAAATCCCACGGCCCGAAGCAAGCCAAAGACCCTGAGAGGCGAATTATGCGAACTGACAGCAAGGCAAACTGTTGTTGCAGTTATGTCGCTGGTTCCTGCATTCGGTCGGTGCATGCATCTGGTTCTGTTCTACGTTCTTACAATCATAATCACACTCCATACCTAATTATTTTGTCGTTGATGGGAATGTTTGAGCAGCAGGTGACTCCGACCACCATTGCACAGACGAGCTCCGGGAAGGAACTCAGTGCCGTAGGGGAGCCAATTATGCCCGGGGTAAAGGGTTACTCTAGTACGCCAATATGACCTGCCATCCTATGGTCAATTAAGAAGGAATTGGAGGTTGATTATGCGTTCGTGAGGTATGAAAAGTGTATGAGGAGAAGAAAGAAAGTGCGCGGATCGAAAGGATTTTATATGGGTCAATGTCATAGTGCGGCACGTGATTGATTTGCTCGCACCTTGTGAAGGCCTCAGGCAACACTGTGGTGTGGTCATCCCAGCCATCGGCATTATTTCAGGTTGTGTCAATCCACAGAAGAGTTTGTCTCTATATACAGTCTCAGTTCAGTCTATCCGTCAATATACTATACGTTTGTGTCATTCACAGAGACCCTTACCCCACGCCGATGGAGGCGTCTTGGGCAAGTTCACTGTAACATGGCCCGTGGCCAAACGGTGTCGCCAGACTCCATCGCATCTATCCAATGTAGCCCACCCTGTTCTTCCTTTAAGACTGTGATGATGGTTAAAGCGGTCCCAATGCCCATCTCCCGACCAATCACGTTGAAGCATCTCATAGCCCAGTTATGCATCGGGCTTGCAGCCCCGCCAACAAGTGCGGCCATGGTCAGCGGCAGAAGCAAAGTAAACCCTGTGCCCGCATAGGTATGCGGAGAATCAAAGACATTCTTGCTTTCATTGCCAGCAACTCCGAACTTGAAAGGAATAGAGCAGCAGATGTCCGTGGCTAGCTGCCTCATCAGATCACGGATCCGAATACAATGGGCCTTGAAGAGGCCATAGTCTAGCACTTGATGGCCACCCAATGCCATCGATTGCAGATGGGTCAGGATCAAGTTGTTAACGAGGATTCGGATGTAGCGGTAGTTGTTCCAAATATTGCAGGACCAGACGGATTGATAGATATGATAGGTCCCTTGGTAATGGCAGAAATTGCCCTTCTCGTACTCGCAGGATGAGACACTGCCCGGCTGTGTCTCTACCTTGTAGGTGAAACTGGCTGAAACATTACTAGCGAATTGCTCTAGCTCCAGGTCTATGGCCATGGCCATCTTCACAATCTCACTGCTGTCCGAGAGATTGCCTTCTCTGACATCAGCTTGAAGCCCGGCGAACTTAGCCATGACCTTAACTAGTCGATCTCCGTCAGTTGGGAGAGGATACGACGTCAGGTCGGTAGCTACTTGATCAGGCATATCGATCAGGACAGAAGGGAGTCTCGTCTTCTTTTGTAGGCAACCGAGGAGCTGAAGGGATCATTAGCCAGATTCTATATAAGAGACTTGCATAACACGCACCACCTCATTACGGAGGGCTTGAAACATCCAGAACCCACCTTCGCGCCGAAGCTGATCTCTGCCGCGAAGTTCAAGGACAGTTGCCACCCCCTGTGAGTGTTCGATCCAGGATTGCAGGCTCTCATTTCTCTGGCAAGCAATAATCTTAATAAATCAGTTAGCCATATGCTCTGTCAATAACCCTGGTTAAAGTCAAACTCACCTCGAATAATGATAGGCAAACGATCGCGGTTAGCGTGGTATCTGCTGTAACCAGTTTCGGATCGCATAAAGCTGAGTTCGTCAGCTGCAGAGCCTTAGTGTACTCGCGCCGAGCCGACAGCCGCATTGACGAGGACCTCTGCATACTAGCAAGATTCGCTAAGCCCACGGATGCAATGCTAGCCATCATAGCTTTCTGGCCAAGGGACTCAGCAGAACCGGCACCATGTTTGAATGAGGTTTCCACCGTGTTAGATGCATTGAACCACGTGTACGTGTTCAGGAAAAAGCATGTGGCTTGGAAGGTATGATCCAACGCAAAGTTAACTATCGCTAGGGGGAACCGCAGAGGGTAGTGTCCAGGATATACTTTCTGGGAGGTGTTTCGTCTTGCTAGCGTCAGAACCGAAGGCTCCGTGGAGGAAGATTTTGTGTCTAAAGTGGGAGATCTCTTGACTCTTCGGGCTACTGCATCGCTCTCGTCTCTAAACCATACCGAGTGCGGATCTCGATAGCCGGAACAAGTCCGCCTTGCTTTTCTACAACGACCGCAGACTGGTCTAGCTTCATCGCACTAAGAGCAGTGATCAGACCAGATGGAATGGGTGGAAGGCGCGGGTGTCTTCGATACGATGATAGGATGGTGGATCCTAGACAAGGCCATACTACTTACTTTGACTCTCCTCGCACGACACGTACCACACCCTCCGCTTGGTTTGCCCATCACGAGTGAGAAGCCGCATGTAGACTGGGACGGTCGTATCACACGCGATGCCTAATAATCGTAATAGAATGGTTTAGCATAAATGACATAATGCGGCCCCAACACGTAGGTCCTTTCCAGACTGAGCTTCGGGGCGCAAGATAGATAGATGAAGTTCGTATTGAGGGATCACCAAGCGCCACGAGTCCAGCGAAGCCCCAGTCCGATGAGGGGTTGGTCTAGCCGCATTTGGAAAGCAGGGCGAGCAATACCGTGTTCTGATTGGTCCTGATGTCCATCCATGATATCGTCGTTGAAATATCCATCAAGTCTGCTCCATCTGGCCTTCATTATGGCCTTTGGTTGGGCAGAACTATATGGCTAAGCATAGCCTCAAGCTCCCGATAGCCGCTTGGTTGAGGTACATTCCAGGGAAGCACAGCCTTGTGGGTGCAGGTATTGGTACCTGAATATGTTATATAACTTGCCTCTCCTCTATCGACATTCCAATGAAGCAGACTATTCTGAAGTCAACACTTCTTCTCTTCTAGCCCATAAGAGACACTGACTCGTTGTTCGTCTCTCTATCGCAATCATGGCCGTCAACTACCGACATGGTCTCTCCATTTTGGAATTGATTGTATACTTCCCGTCACTATTCATCTCGTTGTACATGGGCTTCCGCCATGGCTTCCAGAGAAACGCTGGCTGGGTTCTCTTGATAATCTTCTCCTTGGCCCGCATTGTTGGTTCGTGCTGCTATCTGGCCACGATAGCCCACCCTGAGACCATCGACCTTTATATCGCATGGGGAGTTTGCACTTCCATCGGACTCGCCCCTCTGATTTCCACTTGCATCGGTCTCTTGTCCCGAGTGTACGTACCCATATCTCCATTTCCATGATTGTCAAGTTACTAACTAATTCCTCGTACTCCAGTAACGATTCCATTCAACGAAAAAGCGGACGAGGCCTCCTTCCAGTCTTCTTCAGATTAGTCGGTCTCCTCACACTGGCGGGTATGGTCCTCTGTATTGTTGGTGCAAGCAACAGCTCGAGCCTTCAGGGAATCACGAACAGTACAGAAGCCAAAGTTGGCGACGTTCTATACCTCGTCGCATGGGCCTGTCTCTGTGCCCTGCTACTCGTCGTCGGAAGCAGGTATGGAAGCATCGAGGATGGCGAACATCGCTTGGTTTTGGCAATCGGGATCTCAGTTCCGTTGCTTCTAGTGCGCCTCATATACTCCCTGTTGTCTGTATTCACGCACAACCCCACGTTCAACATGTTGACCGGAAACGTCACTGTCTTCCTGGTCATGGCTGTTCTGGAGGAGATCGTGATTGTTGTGATCTGTCTTGGAGTCGGAATGACTCTGGAAGTCCGTCAACGCACGACAGACTATGAGGCCTGCGATGCACCGGCTCAGGGAGGTCCTGAGCTCGAGTCTCAGCAGAACCCTGAGATGATGTCGTACAATTCCGGAAAGCAAGAGCAGAGGAGAAAGAAGAGACGCGGTGGACCGATTAGCCAGCTCATTGGATTGGCCATCGATGCGACCAGATCTAGGAGGCAGTGAGGTTTCTTTGATACTGCGTTGCTGTTGATGATATGTATCTAAGTCGGGTGATGATATTATGAAGGAACAGAAATTTTTGATATTAATCTAATGACATGTCAGTGGCATAGACATATGTTGTTCTTTGTCTGAGACTCGGAAGGATTCGGCACAGTAGGTCCATAATATTATAGGTGATTAGTAGAGCACCAGTCATTGATGGCATGCACTCAGTCACTCCCTACCAGCCCATTAACGTAATAAATAGCATGCTGGAGCTATATATGTAGCAACAGATCTTCAATGCTGAAGAGTCCATGAAAGTGCCAGGCAGCCTGCCAGTATGTAGATAGCTGTATCCCAGCAATGGGAACAATCATACTCGCTTAGGCTAGCGGTTATATCACATGACCAGAGGCTTAAGCGAAAAGACCAATTTTCTCCGCAAATTTGCCTCACCCACCGTTTCCCCCTTCCTTTACCGTCACTCAACCTGCCTTCAACCCTCAGCCATAGGGGTTTTGGAATATTATGAACGATTCCTTCCCATGTCTTTGGCTTGAAGCGTCTACATTCACTGTAGAAGAATGACTGCAGAATGTTTGCAGCATCATTCGCAGCTGTTTACTATTTTCTGCCTTTCTCTTGTCTCGCGTTTTCTTTTCTTGTAGCACAACGAAAACCACACAGTGCGCTTCTAGCCTTTTCAATGGCGAAGAGGCATACTTTTTTTTCAAGTTCGTTCAGTGGAAGATCAAAACCAAACAGTTTTTAGCAGAGCTGCGTCTACTCCACCCTGGTGTTCGCTTTTATCGGACGGCAGGACTATTTTTACGACGGACATCCTGAGTTTTATCTCTACCTTTTTTATTTGTAGTTGTGCATATGTGGTGTGCGGTACGTAGATCTGGGAGACCGGAATGGGTGTTTTCTTCGTTTATACGGAAAGCATTCCGATGAAGTGGACATGTTCCGGTGCTACTGAAACGGGTGCTTTGCGCCCTCTGGAAGTACGAGCCAGTTAACGCCCCTTGCATCTGGTCGCTCCTCGTCCTATCTGTCTGGGGATGATCGTTGCTGCAGCTCTGAAGTCAATCAAAGAGGAGCTGAAGCTATGAATGATGACCGAGCAAGCTGTTTTGTTGCGGTTGCCAACGTGTGCGACTATACTGGAGGCCAAGCTACCATAGCAACTGATAATGATAAGCATCAAGACCTAGTTGTTTATTAGAAGCGGTGTTTGTAAGAGAGCTTTGTTCAGCAGACTTCTAGAATGGTTCTGAAGGGCTGATAGCAGTTATCATAAGAGCCAGACTCCAGAGCTGAGTAATGGGGAAGATTCTGGACGGATAAAAGTTTAGTAATAGGAACCAGTTGAAGGGAGAAGGGCAGTGGGTGGCCCGGAATTTACCGCGGCTCAGAGAGCGAAGAGCAGGTGAGACCAGCGAGTCTCTGCCAAAGAGAATGTTCCTGTTAATAATATGGCAACGGACCCGCCCGCGGACCCAGAAACGAGCGATAGACTAGTCGCATCGGTTATGATCGTTGCATGGAGATGGGCTGCTGCCCCTCCTGAGAGCTCTGAACTCTGACCTCTCAACTCTCAACTCAACACGCAAAATCACTGTCAATCCGACCAAACAATGGCTCAGTCAATCAATGCTCTGTGGCACTCTGTAGGAATCAAAGACTCGTAGACTGAGATTGGAGCCATGGGTCGGGAAAAGGGCCATCTTGCCACGGACAGGTCCAATTGCCGGAGATCGGGTCACCCAATTCTGGTCTCCTCACTCACACCCCAACTGGCAGTTGCCCGCGGACTAAAGAGATTCACGGCGCCTGAAATGCGGAGAATGACTTGCTGACTCAAAAAATTCGGCCCAGAGCTCGTCAATCTGCGTGTTGCCATTGGTGCGCCGTGCCTGGACAACGGACTCGGCATAATACTAAGTCGTTGTGGAGGAAGTCGCTGGAAGTGCTGAGGAGAACATTCGCAGCCTATTAGTATCCCTGTCTTCGTCTCCTCTTCTGTCTTCTCTTTCCCTCTCCCCTTCTCCTCCCTCCTACCTTATTATTCTGTCCTTCCTCTTCTCTTCCGTCTTACACCCGAGGTAATCTATCTATCCCTGGGTTCCTTCATCCATCCTCCGTGTACCATTTAAAGTGACTCCTGTCATACCTTCCCACATCCAATTCACCCCTGAGCATTCATCTCCTTCCCTTTACATTCTTTCACAATGGCATCGGCTGCTAGAACGGCTTCCCGGGCCTTCCTTCGCTCGACCCCCGCTACCTCTTCCTTCAGACCTGCTGCTCGCAGTGCTCGCTTTGCCCTCCCTTCTCAGGGCTTCCGTGCTGCCTCTCGCCGCGGCTATGCCTCTGAGGCTGGCGAGGCCAAGTCCTCCAACAGCCTCCTCTGGGCTGGTATTGCCGCTGCTGGTGGTGTTGGCGCCTACTTCTACCTGAAGGGTGGTGATGCCTCCGTCAGCTCCAAGGAGTTTGTCCCCACCAAGGAGGACTACCAGAAGGTGTACGATGCCGTTGCTCAGCGTCTCGCCAACGAGACCGACTATGACGATGGCAGCTATGGACCCGTAAGTGACATTCACCATCTAATGAGCTTGAGCCATCTGAATACCTGGGAAGCTGACCCACGTTGTTGAATAGGTTCTTGTCCGTCTGGCATGGCACGCAAGCGGTACCTACGACAAGGAGACTGGCACTGGTGGAAGCAACGGTGCCACCATGAGATTCGCCCCCGAGTCCGACCACGGCGCCAACGCTGGTCTCAAGCACGCCAGAGACTTCTTGGAGCCGATCAAGGCCCAGTTCCCCTGGATCACCTACTCCGACCTCTGGACCCTGGCTGGTGCCTGTGCCATCCAGGAGCTTGGTGGCCCTGCTATCCCCTGGAGACCTGGCCGTCAGGACAAGGACGTTGCTGCTTGCACCCCTGATGGCCGTCTCCCCGACGCCACCAAGGAGCAGTCGCACATCCGTGACATCTTCTACCGCATGGGATTCAACGACCAGGAGATCGTTGCCCTGGTTGGAGCTCACTCCCTTGGTCGCGCCCACACTGACCGCTCTGGCTTCGACGGTCCCTGGGACTTCAGCCCTACCGTCTTCACCAACGAGTTCTTCCGTCTGTTGGTTGAGGAGAAGTGGCAGCAGCGCAAGTGGAATGGCCCCAAGCAGTTCACTGACAAGACCACTGGTACCCTGATGATGATGCCCGCTGACCTTGCCCTGACCAAGGACAAGGCGTTCCGCAAGTACGTCGAGCTCTATGCTAAGGACAGCGACCTCTTCTTCAAGGACTTCTCCAATGTGTTCGTCAAGCTCCTTGAACTTGGTGTCCCCTTCAAGACTGAGGACCGCTATGTCTTCAAGACCTCTGAGTAAATACTCTCCAGGTCTTTGTGAATATTCTGGGTTCGGTTTTGTTTCAGGGTTTTAGCTGCGGAGCATTGTTTTCTCTTGTTCACATTTTGATATCCGACATGTTTTCGATCGATGTTCGACGACCATAGCATGCGTCTTAGATAGGCATGTCTTGCCGCGGGGCAATATACCATACAGGGGTGGGAATATCTAGAAGATTAGATCAATAAACCATCCATTGAAGATTCAGATGTTACCTTGTAATAATTGCCGTAGTACCTCATTAGCGAACGTGCTGCGATATATAGATATATCACCCTTACTGCTAGTAGTTGAACCGCCTAGTTACCTACTATTGATCGCTCAACACAGAAGGCATCCGCTTTCTTGCCATCGATTGCAATGTAACAAAAGAATCTGTCCGACATTGCAATCACGTAGCACAATGTATGGTTGTTGTCACGCCGAGTCGGCATCACTCCGGAAGCGCACAAGAAGTGGCGGCGGTGCGGAGCCGATGAGAAAGTCTTTCAATCTCCGAACTCCAACCGCCGCATCTCAAGCAATTAACCAACCTAGAGCCCACCAGAGCCTTCATTTCCCAAGATACCAAACAGACTGAATGGAACAATAACCACATACCAAATTAACTTATCCTCGGCGAAGGAACCAAGTTTCCTACCAATCCGCGCAAATAAAAACCATCTACATCTGCCGCACCGCAATACCCAACCCACCATGACCAGATCCAACCACCCCCTCACCCAAGACCACTACGAAGTCCTCAACCTCCCCTTCACAGAGACGTCAACAGCACTCTCCAAACAACAGCTCAAAACAGCCTACCACAAAGCCCTGCTAAAGCATCACCCGGACAAAGCGCCCGGCGCAATCGCACCAGATGTCCAGACCAGCAGCACCAGCACCAGCAGCCTCCCTACATCAGACACAAACTCCTCGCCGCACACGACACATCGCTACACCATAGATGAGATCACAACCGCATACAAAACACTATCTGATCCATATCTACGCGCTGAATACGATCGGTCGCTGCGACTCGATCGCGCAAGGGTTGCGGAGCGGGAGAAGACGGGCACGGTTTTCCATACGGGGCTGGAGGTCGTTGATCTGGAGGATCTGGCGTGCGATGAGAGTGATGCGGACGCTGCGCTGTGGTATAGAGGGTGTCGGTGTGGAGATGAAAGGGGGTTCTTGGTTACGGAGCAGGATTTGGAGAGGGAGGCGGAGCACGGGGAGATTGTTGTGGGTTGTCGGGGGTGTAGTTTGTGGATGAAGGTTTTATTTGCTGTTGAGGATGGGGATGAGGATGAGCAGGATACTTGAGTGGTGCTGTGGGATATGTGTGATGTGTGATTGGTTTTGTCGCCTTAGGGCGTCGATGGAAGATTCTTCGCTCGGGGTATACCCGTTGGATGCTTTTGGTCGCGATCGTTGTGACCAGCACTTGGCTGGCAGGGTATGGTGATGGCGCATAGGCCCATGAGTGGCACTGTGCGGTGCGCACTCTGTGTCGTCCAAAGAACTCTTCGAGGATAGGCTCGTGGTTGAGCCATGATGCCTGCCGCACCGGACGCTGCTGGTCAAGTCACACCTTGACCTGTGTCAACCTTTCCAAGGGAGGTTGGGATACTGCTCGCGGATTGATGCAGCACTCTGGATGCTTATATCTTCGTGGTAAAGCTTGGTTTATTCCCGACTCTGTTGCTATTACCGCCACGTCTGCCTGCATCAAGACCTGAGCCACCAGGGTCAAGAAATGATATATGGGATATGAGATATGTTGAGATTTTAGACTACAGAATAGAAATTACCGGATACATAACCAAGCACGATTAGATTAAGTTATATTTGGAGTTGACAAGTACTCACCATATACATCTTATACTGTAGTACTTACTGCTGTAAGTAGGTGGGCGGCGGGGGCGTTGATGACATATCGGCAATATATCTCCAGTCCCTAACAGTAACCACCACCGCAGCTCACCAAACCACCGCCAACCTCCTTCCATCTCCCTTCGCGTCCTTCACTACGCGACACACATCTCCACCATGTCGACACTTGTGCAAATCAACTCACGCGAGCAATTCAGCTCTCTATTGAGCTCCTCCACCTTTGTTGTCGCCGACTGTGAGCTCCCATCTGCTGTCCCCCACCTTCCCCTCCCCACCACTACCACCATCACCATCCATTCACTCGCAACGTCGGCCATCTCCTACACTCAAACAAACCTCACAAAGAGAAGCAAACTAACCCATCGAAACAAACTCAGTCTACGCAGATTGGTGCGGACCATGCAAAGCCATCGCCCCCGCATACGAGCAGCTAGCCGGGCAGCTCTCACGCCCGAATAAGATCACCTTTACGAAGATCAACGTTGACAAGAACCAAGACATCGCAAGACAGTATGGGATCACAGCGTACGTGCCTATCCCACATGCTACAAACCCGACCACCCAAACTACAATACAGCTACTAACTACTACTCAAGTATGCCCACCTTCGTCCTCTTCGAGCGCGGCCGCCCAACCTCCACCGTCCGCGGCGCCAATGCCAAAGAGCTCAACGACCTCGTGCGCAAGCTCGCCACGGAAGCCGAAAAAGCGCCTGAAGGCAACGACGCCGGCTCCAGCAGTGGCGTAGGTTGGATCGGGCTCCCGGCACCCAAGAACTACAGCGACATCTCGGACCAATACGACCCCAAGGGTCTGGAGCTATTGAACCGGGCGAGCGAGTTCGGCACAGCCAAGACGCTCTTCGATAGCTCGAAGCCATCCTCCCTGAACAACGCCAAGGGCAAGGCCGGGGCCGCACCGGATTGGGTGGAGAGTGATACAGACGAGCAGTTGATGCTGTTCATCCCGTTCCAGTCTACGCTGAAGGTGCATTCGTTGCAGATTACGTCGCTCCCGCCGTCAGCAGAGGAGGAGGTTGAGGATGAGGACGAGCGGCCGATGCGCCCCCGGACGGTGTCGTTGTATACGAATCGGTCGCATGTGTTGGGATTCGACGAGGCGGATGATATCCCTGCTGTGCAGACGGTTACGATTCAGCCGGAAGACTGGGATCCCAAGACGGGTACGGCCAAGGTGGATTTGCGGTTTGTCAAGTTCCAGAGTGTTACGTCGTTGGTGATTTTCTTTGTGGATGGGGATGGAGATAGTGAGAAGTTGCGGGTCGATCGGGTGCGCATCTTTGGAGAGGCGGGCGAGAAGAGGGAGATGGGTAAGTTGGAGAAGATTGGTGATGAGCCGGGGGAGTAAGCAGGACATACGAGTACAAGGATTGAGTAGATATATGATAACAACGCACTAGAACAGACCGACCACTTAAACAGAAACAATCACTATATTTTACTTGTGAGGACAATTGAATCAGATCTTTTCAAACTCAGAATCATATTCTTTTCATATTTGAAAATCTACGAAAGCTATTGACCACAAGTCTGACCCCAATCTGCACCACACATAACCAGCACAGAAAGCAGCAGTAACACTACAGCCAACAAATCTATACTAAAATAATCTCACCACCACCACCACCATAGACAGATAACATCTATGATAACAGTAATGATAAAAAAGTAATGTCCGATCCCAAACCAAATGGTCTAATCCTAGTGGGAAAAGAAAACAGAAAGACCAATAAAGTAAGAACCGGTGTGCAATTCCGTTCGTCTGTGACGCAACTGACACCTGGGGTTATGACAACATCATAGAAGAAAAAAATGATGTCCAGGCAACACGGGTGAAAATAGTTGCGTCGCCGCACGAAGAAAGAAAAGAAGAAAAAAAAAATCTAAATGGGTGGAGGGGTGAAGGTTGTATTTATAGGGGTGTTTGGTGGGGAGGATGGATGATTTGTTGTTCCGGGTTAAGCGAGATTCATTCATGAGGAATGAAGGGTGATGAGTAAGCGGGCTTGGGGGTGGGAGTGAAAATTTCGGTGTGTGGGAAATACTTTCCTTTCTGTTCTTCTCCTTTTGATTATAATATATCAGGTCGATGATGAGATTATTGGATGTTTTCATATATGATAGGAAGAGACTGACTCCCGTTGATCTGGGAGATTGATCTTAACTTCATCCACTGAGGCCTGTTTTATTTCAGGATTTATCTTATATTTTGATGTTGATATTTGATATCCTTGTTGTGGTGGTTATATGATTATGGTTGTGGTTGGATCATAGCGTATTTTACTTTCTACCTATCGGTGATATTCGTCGGAGGTATAAGATCGTTTGCTTACTGCTACTCCGGTGCTATGCTAATATTCCGCTTTGCTATTGCATTGCTTGTTGCTTATGCTTACCTTGTTTCTCCTTCTGTCGGCGTGGCTGTTTCTTAGTGGTAGTACAGAGTACCCGTGGTACTTTTTTTTTCTCTCCATCGTGCGCGTCTTAGTTGAATCTTTTCGCCGGCTGATTGCGTTCGGATGACCAGGATTCTCATCCGTTTGCGCCTTGCGCCCTGGCCCTGGCCCCGGCCCCAACCCCAGCCCCAGGGCCTATCTACTAGGGTCGGGGTTCAACTGTCATCATCGCCTAGCATGATGCTTGCTCGGTTAAAACCAATCGCGTCCAGGATTACCGGCATACTCCGTACATACCAACTAAATACAGTGACGGCAGATGCGCCTGCTGCATTGGTTTGGGGGCAAATTGTCGTCGTAAGCCGGAACCTGGTAGTATCGAATTAGTAGTGTGCATGTCAGATTTTTTCTTCTCTCGCGATGGCTGTGTCTGCAGGCTGCAGATGTCCGTGTCCTCGTCGCTAATCAGCATCACTGCCGATGGATCGTCTGATGCATTAACTGTTTGAGCCACCTTTTTTTGGCCCCAACCCGTGAGGACTATGCAAAAAGGACCCATGGTTCCATCCCACTCGCACGTTCTGCAACCTGCACCGCGCCGCGCCCGGGCACCTCTCACGTCAGGACCTTGGAGGCTGATACCACCGGGCAACGAAGAAGTAAAAAAAAAAAAACTCTGGTTCAGCACGGTCCGTGAGGAAGCGGGCTGACCAAGGAAGCTGAACCAGCTGAACGAGCATTGTTCTTTTCGGGATGTTCAGTGCTTACCGCGATCCGCTTGGTCTGACCGAGATCCCACTGCGACCCAAGGAACCGCAAGCCTACCTTATCTGAGACGAATTCCCTCACGTAACTGTTGTTGTCGTGATTGATTGAGACTGATAGTGGTCAGTCTTTGCGCCCGCTCTCCCCCACTCGCAAGGGTGCAATGTGCAGAGGGCAATCCAAGACCTTTTCTGGGCCCTAGGCTGGGGCGGCCGTCGATCATGTTGGGACACTGGTCGACGCAGCTATCGCACAAATCGCATCACTCTCTCTTTATGGATGCTCATTATCCCGTGCATAGTCACACTGGCGACCCATGAGGCAGAGGGGGCTATTGGGTCGCCGCTGGAAGTATCAGCGTGAGACAGCGCTTTCCGACTGGCAGAAGCTGCCCGGAGTGTGGAGTAGCGCGCCATGGAAGCAATTCCTTCCTGCGATAAAGTTCACCCGAAGGCACCTTGGCCTCGCGCTATGCCGCGCAGGTTTGCCTGCGACCCAGAAATTCGAATTCTTGTATCCATATCTGCATGACTCTGTTATCAATCCCAATTGCTTAGCGATGTCGGCGTGAAAGATTCCGTACACAGGGAACCACAAACCTGCTACCTGCCCTTTCGAGGATTGGTACCTCCAATCGCATCCCAGCGGACGGTGCCGGATCACCAGAGTGGGAGACCTACTCCATCAGACGTGTCGGGACCGATGTTGCTCTTATCTCTGTTTCCGTCGTGTGGTGGATGCTGTTGTTTTGGATTCTGCATTTTGGTCCACTCTGACTAGAGAATTGCTGTTCGTGGGATCATCAGTATTGCAGGTATACGGTGCACAAATATAGTAAGTCGGGTGGTTGATGATTCGAGCTTGCTTGCCGTGAGCTCCGAAGGGACCCCAATTCCAGGGCCAAGTTTAATGGCGCACCATTTGCTTCTCCGCATTTTTATTTTCGATAGCCCATGTTGGCGTCTTGGAAGTGGCGATTATGCGCATTTGGTTAGTCAGAAGAATATAGAGATAGGTAGTAGTATTAGCCTGTCCCGTCGGGAGGGTTCGCACTATTTCTCCGTTCTCAACCTTCGCAAAGAGGGCTATCTCGGGCGAACGGTGAGCTTCCTCTCTGTTTGCGTGATTTCCGTATCTTAATTTCCCCGGTGACGCCATTTCCAATGGAGTCACGGACAATCATCATACTGGGAGCGGCTACGGGACCAAGATCCCAACTGGAGCCCACACGCAAGAGCTCTCCTGGTCCCCAATGCGAGCTGAAACCACGGGTCGGAATACTATCTATATACCCGACTGGGCTAGGCTCGGGACGAATAACCAATGTCCGTGGCCGTTCAGAGCCCATGCCTCCAAAAGCTCCGACGACACGATCCAGGATGGAGTAGCGCTGGGATGGGGTTGAGTAAGAGATACTCATGATTTTCGCCATGGCTGGTGGTGCAAATCAGTCCCTCTCTCCCCGCTGGCATCCATTGGATCACTCCCGGGTTTCTCCACGATTGGAGCAATTCGTAGCCACAGCATAGATACACCCGAGTATGATGCTGTTCAATCAATACGAACGTGCAGAAAAAAAGGTTGGTGGCTTATCAGTGTCGGGCCTAGGTAATTTGTTTGTCGTATTCACTGGTCGCTGCGATCGGCCACTTTAGTCCATGATCTTCCCTGCACCAATCCAGGAACAGAACTCAACGGAGCACGCCACATGGATGTCTTCCCGTCTGCCCGCTGGGTTCGACAGTGTTCTGAAGTGCCGAGACGAGCATGCAGTTGTGATTGGAATCAGCACGAGATGGAACAATCACACATAGAAAAAGGGCGCACCTTCCCCAATGGGTATGGACTGATGGGCCTTAGAAGCAGTTGAACATGTCGAAGTCACTCGTGGATTGGCACGATTTAAGCTCAGCTAGCAGCCCTGTGGTAGTCTCGGGGTAATGTCTTAGATCCCTGTTGGCTCATGGACCGTAAACAAAGAAAGGTAAAACAAAGAATGGCGGGATGGTAGCTGCTCATCACTATCACACCTGATGTATCCAAAGACAACCCAAATCAGGAATTAAAAGGAAAACGCCCAAAGCCACAAGAGACATCGACTTGGTTTAGTCCGCAGTGGAACACGCAGTAGTGCAGGCAGTGATGGTGGAAAGTCCCCGCAAAAAGTGCGGTAGCTTCATGCCGGCAATCGAAGACCGACTTGCGCCAGTCCCAGCCCGTCCAGCAGGCACGAGGACCGCTTGGCAACTGGATAGTTAGCAGCTACGTCTAACTCAAATGTTCCCGTTACTCAACTCGGTCGGACGGCATCCATTTTGCCCAAGAGCATGACGGACATCAAGTTCATCTCTGTTGGCGAGTAAATCTTAGGCGAGCATACGTTGCATACCATGGTCTACTGCCGAGGATGGGAGTGTTGTGGCGTAGCTGGCATATGGCATGGTCTGACGATGGGGTGGATTCTGCTTCCGAAACGACCCAGAGTCGTGCCTGAAAGTGATCACTCGGAGATATGTTGCAGAGTCCTGTGTATGAACCATAGTTAATCATAACACCACCCCTCTTCACCCTTGGTTCATAGAAGGGCTCGGAAGTCTGCCGGTATCGGAACCATACACAGAGAAAGAGAGGGTGAGGGTCCTGGATTCTGAGGCCACCGCTGTGGCACAATTTGGAGAATCGTACGTGGCGGTTGTCTATTGCTGAAATCAAGCTCACCCCCGTGTCGAGGATTCGAAGGTTCGAAGAAGCCTCTAAAGTCTTCGGTTGCATTAGGTAAAGACACTATGTTCGACGTTAATTGATTGCTATGGAGAAGGTTTGTCTGCTCATGACGTAGCGACCTTCACAGCATTATCCCGTTTAGTCAGGGGCCATTTGATTGGCTTCAGGATGAGGGATGAGGTGAGATCCCTAATGGCGATTTAGGAGAGGTTATCGCCATTTTAGTGTCGTACGGAGAATATACTCCATTCTACTACCAACTAGTGGATGCTGAGAAGTAAAACAGTCGGAGATGGCTTGGCTCTGTCCCCTCCCCCTTTCCGGAGGCAACGAGGACTACCTACTAGTATCTAGTAGTACAGAGTCCTACTCCATAGTGCTAGTATACGCAATGGGATTAGTGCTGTTCAGTCAGAATTCTGGGGACCTGACTAAGACGAAACCGAGACACGCCTAGACAAAGCCAGCTGTGATTGGAGGATTGCTGTCCGCGTAGTGTGTTTCAGATTTCGAGCTTACTCGCTTTTACCAAACGCTCGACGTCGGTACTATTCTGTAAGAACTAAGAACAGAGTATTCCACGGAGAGGAGTTTAGTTTGCCGTCGGAATTCCAGTTGGTCGGTTTGGCGTAGTGGTGCCCTAATGGATGGAGAGGTCCATTACCATAGTCCCAGCCACATTAGGTCTAGCCCCATTAGCCACTCTTCCCTCGACTGCTCGTCTTGACTCGTCCCGGAGACAGTACTACTGTGTTCAGTAGTAAAGCTCCAGTCTCCAGCCGGTAGATTAGTAGTAGTCGTAGTATGGAGCAGGCATGGAATTGAAGATCTGCTGGTTCCGACTTTGCACGATGCACGGCAGACCCGGTAGCTCGGTGATAGTCTCGCACCGATTTGGTGCTGGAAATTGACAGCGAGGGTAATTTCCAGTCCTGCCTCCCCGTTCCAATTCTCTGGATGGTGTCAAACCCTCATCCACACTAGGCGCTGCACTATTGGTTCGCCTGAAGTTTATCGTATCAGTCCACCAAGGCCAGCATGATCTCGAGCGAGCTTAACGGGCAATGCCCATATTTTGGGTGTTGCATTGAATTCCAATTAGATGGCAATGATTTGATCGCTACGTGTGTCGCATCGAAGTCATTTGTTCAAGCGATCAACCGTCAATCATTCCCTCCATGGCGGTTGTACGACAACTATATATCGGGCGATCATGGTGCCTGAAGTGTATAATCACCTTCCTGCTTGAGAATTGTTCCAGTAATAGTAGTGACTTATCGGCGTCGCATGATGTGCTGCAGTTTCAATGGTTCAGCATATACGCCGTACGGTGAGTACCGGGGAGTAATTAATTGGGAGGATCCGCAATCGGATTGTCCGGCGTGTCTTGTTCAAGGCAACATCATAAGATATGGTGTGTTGTGGTCTTGGGAAGCCGGTACCGATAAGGGCCACTTCGCTCTCTCACAGGCTCTCTGTCGTTCGCTAGTCTTAACCCCCCATAGATCTTGTGCCACTGTAAAAACCCAATTGATATCCATCCATAATCTTGGTACACATCTGGGTATCCGATAACCGTTGCTTCCGGTCTCCGCGGAACCTATTGGAATTCGAGGGTAGAATACGGTGCCATATCTGACCCAGTGTGATTCGCCTTTCTATTTCCCCCTCTGCTCGCCTCCAGTTTCGGATCCAAGCGGCATGGAATCTGTCAGGATGCCCCATTCTGCCACCACCGGATACGCGCAGCAGCCCGGACATCCCACCGTGCTCTGTCCAGCACGACTTTTTCCTGACTCTGATTCGCCCGAGAAGAAGGGGGGCCACGCATCCGAGAAGGGCCTTCGCCAAATTGACACTTCTCGCACGGTCGCAATTGAGACCAGAAATTTCTTCCATTTTTTGTTTCCTCACTCGTGAGGACCTGCGTGGCCACCCACACGGGTACCACTGGCGCGGAAGACGGGCCTAAGTCCCCTACCGCCCGTCTGTCAGCGCGGATGCGCGCCCATCCCCATTTCGAAACCCACCGCCGACGTCGCAAAGAGGCAAGATGCGCTGCCTTCCGGTGGCGCTCATCTTCACTACTCATCTAAACTGTCGGTGGCATGCCGAAGCGGCGCCATACTAGATAATGCGAGACAGCCGTCGAGTCTAGATATCTTTCGTAATCTTGCCCTGGTGGAGTCCGGGAGTCGAATGGAGAAGGGGGGAGGAGGTTATGCCTGTCACCGGTGTACGGAGTAAGGTAAACATTGGTGTCGGGAAATGATAGAGTTGTGGGTATAGTGAGGATCATAGACGACCGTCGTCTGGAGTAAGTGTCCTGAAGGACATGCAGGTGCATGATGGGAATGGATGGGATGGGGACATGCTGGTACACCATAGTAGAACAGATGATGCGCCATCCTAATTCCCCCTTCTAGACCGAGACCGCCTTGACAGTGCAAAAAAATAAAAAAACTAAAAAAACAAAAGAAGCTACTTTGGACTATCGCTATCAATTTGTCAACCACGGGCGATGACGACGGATTTTCGTTTACCGCCTCCATTAGCTTATGCAGGTTTGATCCTATCGTTTCTTTGGCGCGATTAGAATCCTACCAGATGGGACCCGCATCGGCTCTTCCTTTGTTGTTGGTTGCGTTGCTATTGCTGCAACGGTTCTTTGTTTGTGGCGACGGTTTACTTTGTGGCGACCAACAGGGGTCTTGCGGCATTGCCTCGAAGGGCCAAAAAGAACCAGTTACTCCGTAGTCTTACTGGGTATGATTCTAATTAGTTGGATGGTGGGCTGCTTCGCTGCTTACACTTCGTGGGTTTACCAACTCGAGTGAAATCCCCGACATTGTCAACGGAATTCCGTAGATAGCTCCCTAGCTAGCTAGCTAGCTGCGATTGTTGACCTACTGTAGTTAGCTAGGCCTGGCCGATGGAATCTCTCTCGCTTTCCACCACTACCCACCCCGCCTCCTTCGGTGTTTGCTGGAAGCGGTACTCCGTTCGTAAACAGTGTAAGTCTGCAGAAAAGTAGCGCATAGAAACTTCGAATAACTGGAGTCTCTTTCCTTCCAAGGAGCTACACTGGAGCTCCGTAGCGCGTGGAGGGTTCTAGTGAGTAGTTGTGTCCCCTAACCAACCTCACTAGACCTCAACTAGGCAGTAGCTGGGACGGTAGAACTTGCTTTGGCTTCCTTGGTAAGTTTTCTCGAAGCTCGACGGCTTCCATGCATAGATTAACCCAGTGGACATGCTAGCCTGAAGGGGTAAGTCGGCAGTTCTTCCCCCCCCTTCTCCCCCTCTTCTTCCTCGTATTGCTTGCTAATTGTTTAACTTACGCCGGTCGTGGCAAGCAATATAGCACGCTTCTAAAGCGTAGGATAATTGTTCTAGTCTCGAGACTACGCACTTCTAGCATTTCTAGGCTACGTACTACCGAGAAGCTAGACACACGCCGAGGGACGCAATAGATAGATATTCCCACTTCTCTTAATGTTCCTGAATGCTCCATAGTCATATCCCGATTTCAAATCGGGTTTTCTGCCTAGCTTTCTTCTCACTACATTTAGCTTAGTGGTGGTTATGGTATAGTAGTACTCCGTAGTAGTTACTGTAGACAGCTTGCGAAGTAGGTGAGTAATATTATTGGCAATTTTACCTCGCTCGGGGCCCGTTCCGACTCCCGGAAGCTTCGTTCGAAAAAGGAAAAGTGGCCTGGCCCGGGAAATGGACGGCTTTTCTATCTTTAGATCCACACACACACACACACACACACACCCCGGGCGGCGGTGCGGTAAATCGGTCCGGGATGGGTTTTACTGCCCATTACCGTATGTATGTTATAATTTATGCATGTAGTATGTATGTTTGTAAGAAAAAGTCAATCATTCATTTCACATTCAATCAATCAATCAATTGATTGATTGGACAGGAAGTGAAGGAAAACAAGAGAGAATATGAGAAAGTCTGTGCAACTGATGTACAAGCTGAGATACTCAGCAGGGGCAGACAAGATGGACGAGTCATGTCGCTGAGCAGGGGACTCGGCAGGAGAACGTTTCAGACCCGTTGGGCCAGTTGCGTGGTGGTGGCCAGGGTTTGGGATGGGCTATTGTGATGCTCATGGGCCGAGGCTGGAAGGGGAAATTGATAGGCCCAGGGGTCCGTGTTCTGGAGTCTGACAGCTCTGCTTGTAATCAATCCCCTTGCTTCCCATGATTTACCGTGGCGCAGCCTGTCAGTTGGTTGTCTGGCTGGGTTATCGCGTATCATCATCATCATCGGGCATCATCAGCGCCTCTCTATTCAGGGACAGGGACAATCTTCAGATGTCGTCATGTTGATCCTCTATTTTGTGTTTGATCCTGCATATTGGTCTGTTTGCATCACTTTTTCAATTTGGGGGGCTTGCTGCGATGGGTTCTAATTTTACCTATTTGGCAAGTAAAACACGTCGTTCGGGGGATTTACGCGGCGGCCAACGCACCGTACCTGAATTCTGAAACCCAAACTATCGAACGCGAAGATTGCCGGGCTTGCAGAAAATAGATAGTAGCAATCAAAGAAACCTCTTTATTGGCATTGAAGCCCTATCGTAGGCAGTCACATTCTTCTTTCCCTCCCAAGAAACGAAGAACTCGGCTAGGTAGTAGTACGACTACTTAGTACTACTATAGAACGTTAAAAATAAATTTATTAATATCGTATGAGACCGACTAAAGCATACCATAAAGTAACATAATAAAAACCGAAATGAAGAAAGATCCAAGACAGAACTAATCCCAATCAATGTAGAAACACCGAAGAGGAAGAAGAACTGAAGCAAATCAGATCCTAAGAATCCATTTTGACAGCTGCGTTCATCTGCCATGTAAGCCCTGTTGTGCCACTTGGCGCGCCATCGGACAACTGAAAATACACGATTCAAGCAAGGGTCGGGTTGCGGCAGCCCATCCCAGGGACGTTTCCCCTCTCTTACCAAGCCTGCAACCTAACTACCCTTACCATCGCTCCGCATCGGTTCCTGCAGTAGACCGACCACAAACCTGATGGATCCATTCCCGCCGTTGAACACGTCGCATCTCAAATGTGAGCGAATTCCAGGTTATCTTTGGTGAAGGGAAGGGCAAAAAATAGACGATTGACTGTTTGCCGCTCGGTCGCGCGAGCGCGCGCGCCGCGTTGCCTACGCACACCACTATCTGCTGCGTCACTGGCTCACATGGACTATACTAAAGTTACTTACTATCTACGTACTACTTCTTCCCAAATTTTAGGAACCTCCCAAAGTTGGTCTTAGGCCCCCGGTACTTTAGGTTTCGGAGTATCCCAGTACCTTGGATTTGACATAACGCCTTAAAAAGAAAAAAAAAAAAAAAACACTACTATCTATCTACCCAGCTATGTGCCCAATTTTATCCAGGTACAGTAAGTGGCTAGTCCTCTGTTACGTTTTCAAGTATCCATCTACCCCAGAATGATAGGGCAGATGCATGAACGGTAATATTCTTTGCCTAGAATTCTAGCCCAAGTAGGTTCAATAATGCTGTACGCACTATGTCTTTTGCGCATCGCACCTGGCATATGACATCCTATCGGATAATAGGGTCTCCAAGCTATTCACTAACTTACTGGTATGATATGGGATTGGGGGGGTCATGGCGGACCTGGCCGCTCTCGATTTCTACTCTAAGTAACGACAAGAATCATATGAAAGGAATCGTTTCGCGGACATTACTACCTAGAACTTACCTAGGCCCATAAAATAACGGTGAAAAATAATAATTTACAACAGGAATAATAATAGCCATATTAATAAACGTTAGTATGAACAGGGATTCGTCTGCCTAGCCTGCGCGAGACCCCCCCGGAAGTACCTGGCTGGCAGGTCCGTAGTAAGTACTCTGCTGTAGTGCCACCCATAAGGCCGGGTATCCCATAGTACCGACTCTTAGCACCATGCCACAAAGAGGGTGGGCCCTACTCAGGACCGTTTCACCATTGGTGTAGAAATAATTTATTCCAGTCGCTTGTTTCTCGAAATTGCTAGTTGCCTCTACTACTGCCAGATAGATTAGGTATACTTACGGACGTTTTTTTCGTTCGTGCTCTCTCTTATCAGAACAGGGGACCGGTTTTCGGATTTGGCTTTATCGGTTGTCGAATTACGTGCATACCGTGGAGCCCAAAAAATCCAAAGCAAGACTGAAAGGCAAGTCCAGAGCGAAGTCACCGACCCTCGAGAAAGCAAGATAGGCAAGGAGGAGAAGGGGGAAGACGGAAAATGGGGACTTGACAATGGGCACTGGCCAATTTGGCCCGGACAACAGCAATCTTGACAACTGATTGACTGACTGACTTGCCCGTGTGTGCGTGCGTTGCGTGGGTGTGAGTGAGCGAGTGGTGTGTGAGTGAGAGTTGACTTCTTTCTCCAACTTCCAACCAATTGTTCTCAGTCATTGCTCTGCTGATCTTACTCGAAATGTGGCCCGGGACGGTCCCAGTGTTGGAACATGGGCCATCCATTCCCTCAATTGCAGTGCACATCTTTGTTCCCTTCCCTTTTTCCCTTTGCCGTTTTCCCTTTGAGTTTTCCATATGGGAGAGGGAGGGGGGACTAAAGACTAAGAGGACATCCCCCAAATGGCGGACGGGATGCTCAGTGGGGCCGACTAGCTTAGCCGGCGAGTCAATCCCTCCCTTTCACGGGTTGAGTCTATTGGCTTCCAATGCAGCCAACTTCGGTTGTATGTCACGATGTCCCCCCCGGCAGGACCAGGCTTGCTATCAGTGGCCGACCTGCTTATAGGTTAGTCGGATGTGCTGCCCTTTTTCCCATTCAATCCTTTAACACCCGCATCCTCTTTGCTCTCTTGCTCTCTCTTTCGCTCTACTACACCACCACCCCCCGCCCCGCCCAACAAAGCCCCCACTTTCAATCGGTCTGGAGATGCTGACTGGCCCGATTTGCGCTCACTCGTCCATGTCTGTGGGACAGACAAGCCGCTGATAAGCCAGATAGGCTAAGAGATGATGCAGGTCCTAATTGGTAACGGGACCATAATCCAACAGCGTAGCGAGTAATACTACTGTAAGTTGTAGAACATCATCATTGCAAGGGCTGAGCGAGTTGGTCACCTTGTCATTTGATGGCAAAAATGTGATGGATGGTAAGCGCGCAGCTGTGATGTTGGGCCTCCAGAGCTGAGCGAGCAGGGGAAGGGAAGCATTGTGACTGGCAGAGAGGGAGGATAGGCAATCACAGAAGGTTGGCTACTATTTTGGGAGCAATAATAATACCTGCGGTCTCGGATTGGGGTGTGTGGCAATTCACACACACAGCCATT